TTGTTCAGGGCCGCGTTGTTCTCATTGTGGCTCCCCTCTTCTCTTGTGTTCAATGTTCTCTGCAGTGCAGCTTGGGGCAGGCCGTGCTGAGAGCACCCCAAAAGGCATCATGGCCCCTGACCTTACGTCCACTCTCCTTTCTTTGTGCAGATGCTGAGTGAGAATATCCAGGTAGCCTCCTTGATCACAGACTCTCTGCAGCAGAAGGTCTACAACATGGCCCTGGAGGAGCTCGAGGCTTTTCTGGGACGGTCAGTGGAGCCCCCCTCCCACCCCTGCCTATCCTTGCAGACCCTGGGTCCCCACAGCACAGCCTTTCTGCCATGGGGCTGTGTCCCAGCTCGTGGGGGCCACCAGATCCCAAGGCCTGTTGCCCTGTTGCCTCTCTGGTGGTGCTGAGCCCTGCTCTGGACCCCTGAGGGGTCCAAAGTGGGCCCAGCTATCCGATGCTGCCCAAGAACAGGCCACTGCCAGCTTGGCAGCAGTGAGCTGGGAGGTTTGTGGGAAGCCCATGTTCCCCCAGGTGCTGCAGCAGCATCCCAGCTCTGGGCTTTGTGGCAGGAGCTCTGCCTGCCCATCACGGATCACTGGCTGTGTTGCAGCCTCAGGGAAGTCCTTGTGCAGTGTGGGAAGGAGCACCAGAAGGATCGGACCGTACCCAAGCACTACGTTCCCTACCTCCTGGCCATGCTCAACAACAACCTGGCTCTCAGGTAATGCATGCCTCATGGCTGCCTCTCAGAGTAACCCCACCACCACAAGGAAGCCACAAGTTCTCCATCCTCCTGCCCTTCCTGGGCTAACTGTCCCCTCCCTTCTCTCTCTGTCTCCTAGTTCCTCTATCCCCTCTCTGCACCCCAATGCTGCCTGCAGAGAAGTCCCTGCATCTCTCCAGGTTGCTCTGGACAAGATGCAGAAGAAAGCCTGCCAGCTGCTGCTGGAGGAGCTGCTCCTTGACTTACAGGTATGTTTATCCACAGTCCAAGGCTGCTGGGGATGCAAAGAACCCTCCCCAGCAAGAACAGCACTATTACTACTCTGTCTATCCCTGCCTAGCTTATAGGCCACGTGCTCTGTGCTAGCGAGCAGCATTCAGCCAGCTATCATCCCTCAAACACAGCTCCCAGACCTTGATAATCTACACCAGCCTGCCAACACCACCCGGTATCACCATGGCATATGGCCCCAAACCCACCAACTGACAGGGCTGGGGAGACACAGCCCACCTGGGCTCCCTTGCACTCCTTTTCTGTGGCTCTTTCATGGCACAAAACCAAGGAGAGAGCACATCCGTGCAGAGGATACAAACCCATGCGTGACTGCCCCAGTCGTTTCCTGCCAGCATAGTCAAATTTAGCTTTCCTGGAGCCTGGAACAAATCTGGAAAAACTAATGGCATTGCTATTTAGGGCTGGAAGGCGAATGCCATAGAAACAAAGGAGCAGCTAAAGGGTGAAACACTCACAGGCAGCGTGGAGACTGCCACACTGCAGAGAGACTGTGCCGTTAGGCAGGAAGGTGCTGCCTACAAGGACAGCAGGGGAGGAAAAGCCCCCAGCCAAAAACATGTTATGTCTACACAGGAAAAGGAGCAGAAATTAAAACTGCATCAGGGCAGGCCAAAAGCAAGTGTGTGAGGAGCAGCTTGCTGCCCCAGAGCTCAGGTGCTGGCTGTGGTGCAGTGCCCAGCAGCGACAGCGAAGTCAGGTAAAGTCCCAAAACACTGACCTGTGAGCATCAGGAAGACCCAAGAATGTCAGTCCTCATGTTTCCCATCCATTTCCTGATGTAGATCACTGTTTTATGTTGGCTTTTGCCAAGCAGGGCCCTCTGGCAGCAATAGGCTTCAGTGAGCTGCAGGAGAGCAGGTGCTATGGGATGCCGTGCCTCTCTTCAGCTGGGAGCTGCTACAAGAGCAATGCAGTGCAGGGCACCTGATGCTCCTCCTGTGCTCGTTTCAGCCCTTCTACGTGCAGCTGCCTTCACGCAAGTGGCTCTTGGGGTCCCAGCTGGTCAACAGCATGTGTGAAGTGATCGACAAATACACAAAGGACTTCTCCCACGTCAGGAAGCCCGCCTTCTCGGTACAGCTATTGCATGGCTTCCCTCTGACGGGCTGCTGGTTTGCAGGATGAGGGTGTTGGGCAGTCGGTTGCGGTGCTAGGGCTCAGGACACAGCCCAAAGGGTGCTGGGAGGGGAATAGAGATCTGCTGGAGGGCCCATATCCTCCAGAGCATCCCACAGGGCACCATCACACAGATTTGCTCCAAATTCAGATGCCTTTCTGCCTGCTTTCCCTTCACGGCCAACCTCCGGAGCTAACAGCTTTCTTCTGCCCTGCTGCTCAGCTCCTGCTGATGGAGAGCGAGCTCCTGGTGGCGAGCCAATACCTGAGGGCACTCATGCAGAAGAAGATGGTGTGCAAGAGCAAGGAGGAGAGGGGCCAGTTCTGTGACCGCCTGCTGCAGGACGCCACGCAGCTCCGGGAGCTCTTCTGCAGCCTGGTGAGGGATGCCTGAATGTGGTGGGGAGTTGGGCTTGGGCCGTGAGAGAGGGGCATTGCACAAGCCCTGGGGCAGCCCCATAGCGAGGTGAGCGCAAGGAGCTATGAGCTGTTCCTGCAGCCCACAGCAGATGGAGAATTGCATCAGCCCATGAACAGCTGTTACACTTAGGGTAGTTGTGAGGCCAAGATGGGAGGGAACTGGCTGGGAGCTCACCCATGTCACACTCCCCCTTCTCAGGGCTTGGACAGGAGCCAGCAGAGCTTGGAGGCCGTGTTTGCTTTGCGGGAGCTGATCTGCATCAAAGATCCAGCGCTGCTCAGCCTGGAGGTGCTGGGCTTCATCACCAAGTACCCCGATGTCAGGTAGGAAGCCCAGTTCTGCTCACCTGTGACTGAGCATGACTGCTCTGTGGAGCCAGGCTTGGGCTGGAGAGCATGCAGAAACCTGGGCTCCCTCCTTTGTGAGGTTTCTTTTTGCCGTGACCCAAATTTGAGGGGTTCCTGCAAAAACCCAATGACAAAGATGTAAAGGGAAAAGCAGTTCTGCTGTGGTGCTCACTTGTCCATATTTAGTCATCAAAACGGTGAGAAATCATGAATCACCTATTTGGAAATGTCAGAATTGTCCAAAACCCATGAAATGCCAAGATGAAAACTTGAAAAGTTTTATGGGGTTACTTTCAAGCCGATTAAAAAAATCAGCTGGTTTGAAGTTCCAGCTCTCCCCAGCCTCAGCTTCTCTGGATCATGGGAGGTTTGAGGGACGTGAGCAGGGCTCATGGCACTGTGAGCCAGCTGCTCCCCGCTCACCTCCTGCTCTCTGCCCAGCGATGAGCACATCTCCACTTTGCTGGACCTCCGGGGTGACATCTCCAAAGATGTGAGACACGTGGTGCTGGAAATGATGGCACAGAACCCCCAGCCTCTGCCCGAAGGCTACCGGCCCATCTTCAGCACCATCCTGGTTCCTGCACCTGAGCTGCCCTTCTGCCTGCGCAAGGCCAAGTGTGCCTGAGACATCGCACTGCCTGCTGCAGCCCTGCTTCCCCCTGCCCCACCGATGTATGGACCAAACAGGACAGCTCCAAGGCGGTGTGTGGGGAGAACGGAGATGATGCACGGCATCCCCACACCTTGCCCTGTGTTGGAACAGTCTGGATACATGCCATCCTGCTCTGAGCTTGCCTTGCTGAGCTGTTACCCTCCAAGCAGACCTAGGAGACCTGGCTCAGGAGAAAATCAAGGCTGCTTAGGTCTAGCTTGCTGCCGGGAGGACAAGAGGATCAACAGAGCGAAGAACAGGGGGCTACAGCTGGTGTGAAGCCAAGTCTCTTGGGGCTGCAGCAATTCCTGGTGCATCCAGACAGCCAGAGTGACCTGTGCGTTGGTTCTTTTCTCACCACAGCTCCAAAACTGGAGCACTGCTAGTCCCAGGCTTACAGGGTCTTACAGGACCAGCTGGGTCCTCCATGGATCTCAGCCGGCTCACTATGGCTAATGACCAGAGAGGAGAAGGAACACACGGAGCTCTTGCCACCAACTCTCTCCCTGCTCGCATGGAGGGACAGATCAGAGCTCTGGTGACCTGCCCAAGCTCTCTGGTCAACATTTACAATAGCATCAAAGTCCAAGACTTCAGTACTTGGGAGAACGTGAACGGAGTCTCAGCTTTCTCCATGATGGGCAGACCTCCCTGGGCACAGTCATCCTCTGCTGCTCTCCATCCCTTGGTCCTCTTTTCCTCATATGCCAGGGGAAGGTGAGGAGCTGAAGCATGTTGTGTGCTCTGCTTCCTTGGAGCAGCACAGCTCTCTTTTGCCACTTCCTCCTGCCTGGCCTGCACTGTTTTGCCAGCCCTGCAGGCACCTTGGGCAGTGGAAGGGATGAATCCTATGCTCTGCCATTCTTTCTGCCTTACGATGGGCCTGATCCCACAGCTGTTGTATGGCACCAATGCCAATAATAAAGACCTGAGCTCTGCAATAGCTTACCTGTGTCCGGCCAATGTGCCTCAGGGGAGCAGGGAACGGGGAGCACAGAGCAGGGAACGCATCCCCATGCTCAGCATTATTCCAGGGATGGCTCCTGGCACTCAAGTAAGCCCAGGATGGTGATGGGGGATTTGGGGGAAATCAGACTACTCCCTAGCACTCAGGCCTAGGGAGCAGAGGGATCAGGCACCTGCAGGAAGGGCTCAGAGGTGATGAGCTCAGGGAGAAGACCGCTGTCCTCCCTAGGGCTTGCTGCCTGCTCTCCATGGCTCCCGACTGCCTGGGAAAGCTTCTGCCTGCCCCACCTGGCCTTGGGATGTGCTCACCTGCACAGGGCTGTACCTAGGGTGACCCTGGGCTCTGGGAACATCCAGCTGGGACAACGCCTTGCCAGGCCACCGTATCACTGCTGCATGGGGGAAGAACAGCTCTCACACAAGCCTGGAGGGACCACTGCCCACAGCTGGGACAGGACAGGACCTTGCCCTGCCTGGCCACGAGCCACACAGCTCCCAGCTGCTATAAAGCCAGCAGCCCTGGGGCACTGCCATGTATTCCCAGGATGGCGTTCCTGTGGGCAGTCATCTGCCTGGCCCTGGCCAGCACTGTTTCAGGTAAGCCCAACGCTGGGCAGGTGTCCGTGTCCTCCTGCACAGGAGGCAGGCAGGTCCTCGGGGAGCAGGAGATGCCTGTGGGCACGAGCCTTGAGCTCTCCCGTGCTCCTCCATAGGCTGCGGGGAGCCCCAGATCAGCCCCTCGGTGCGGTACAGCGAGAGGATCATCAATGGGCAGAACGCGGTGTCCGGCTCCTGGCCCTGGCAGGTGTCCCTGCAGGTACATCCCTGTCCCATTCCCATGCATGGGCTGCTGTGAGGGTACCCCCTGCCCACCCCCAGCTCCTCCTCTTCCTTTCCTCCCAGACCCGCTCAGGATCCCACTTCTGCGGCGGTTCTCTGATCAACGAGAACTGGGTGGTCACAGCCGCCCACTGCGAGTTCAAGTAAGGAGCGATGCCCTCCGCACCCCACTGGGGACACTGGGGATGGGCACAGGGTCGAGGCACACTGGGCACAGCCTCGAGGGCACCGAGCAGCCCTCCACTCCCTCCCGGTGGTGCTGCAGGACCCCCAACCCCTCTGTCTTGCAGCCCATCTTCCCACGTCGTCGTCCTTGGGGAATACAACCTCAACTCCCAGTCTGAGTCTGTCCAGGTGAAGACCGTGTCGAAGGTGAGCGGGGTGGCTGTAGCTCTGGGAGGGCACTGCAGCTCTGCCCCATGGCCAGGACGAAGTGCTTGTGCCCTCGGCAGGCCGTCACGCACCCCAACTGGAACGCCTACACCCTCAACAACGACATCACGCTGCTGAAGCTCTCCTCGGCCGCCCAGCTGGGCTCCCGTGTGTCCTCCGTCTGCCTGGCTGCTGCCAACCTGGCTCTGTCTGACACCCAGCAGTGCGTCACCACCGGCTGGGGACGCACCAGCACCACCTGTAGGTACCCTGCAGCTCTTGGGGGGGCTCCTACTGTGCTGGGAGGGTGGCAGTGCATGACTGCATCCATTGGTGAGCACATGGGGAGACATATGTGAATGAGTAACACAGCTTTTTTCTCCTCCAAAAGCCAACACTCTGGCGTCACGCCTGCAGCAGGTCTCTCTGCCCCTGGTCTCACAGAGCCAGTGCCGGCAGTACTGGGGCTCCAGCATCACCAGCGCCATGCTGTGCGCCGGGGGGGCCGGAGCCTCTTCCTGCCAGGTGAGGAGCCTGGAACAAGGAGGACGGTGGGGTGTTGCACTTGGAGACTCTGAGCTCAAGCATCTTAGGGACTGGGGTGGTTTGGAGCAAGGTCCTGGGACTGGTAGGGATGGGGCCATCCCTAAACTGCAGCTCTCGTCCCCGCAGGGCGACTCCGGGGGTCCCCTCGTGTACCAGAGTGGGAACGTCTGGACTCTGATTGGCATCGTCTCCTGGGGAAACAGCAACTGCAACGTCCGCACGCCTGCTGTCTACACCCGCGTCAGCTACTTCCGAAACTGGATCGACCAAATTGTGGCCCAGGGGTAGAGCTGTGGGGATCGCTTTGCTCCATCACAGGGCTGAGCACAAAGCGAGGCTCACTTTGTTGCAGAGTAATAAAGCATGTGCTTGTGGCCAGCCCTGCTCCTTTCTTCTTGTGGTGCAGCGCAGCGCAGGATGTGCATAGGGGTTGAAAAAGGTCTCTGCCCAGCCTTTAAAGCAGTATGGGAACGCAAACGAGCAGGGGCATCCTGATATGAGTCCTGTATGGTGTGGGAGCAAAGGGCTGCGTTCTGGGAATGAAGGGCTGGCTCCTGGCAGCTGGAAATAGAGCTGGGCATGGGGATGTGGCACAGAGAAGGAAGACCAGGGTGTCGCAAAGCCCCAGGGCACGTGGCAGCATGGCGGCCCATAGGAATAGCTGGATTGTGCCTCTGCTCGGCAGTACTGAAGTACGACGTGCCACGTGGAACAAGCATGCACTTTGTCAGCTTTAGCCAGCTTCCCTGTGGCTCTAAAGGCAGTCAGGGATGTGGGGATGGGGGGTGTGTGGGCAGGAGAAACCGCTTTCTGTGGTTGTTTGCTGAGCTCTCTGCTCACCTTCACCCCTGCTGCTGCCCTGGCCCCTCCAGCAGGATGTGGCTCACAAGGAGCACGCTTCACTCTATTATGAGCTTTCCTATTGGTCCTAAAAAGTGAGAAACCAGAGAGTCGTGAGCAAAGCAGGGCATTTCTCCAGCCCTTTAGCCAGGTAACAATGAAGAAGTGGCCCAAGACACACAAAGCTGTCATTTCCAAAAGGGAGAACCCAACTCACCCAGCCCACAGTCCCTCCAGAGGGCTGAGCAGCTCCCAGCACCCATCCTGCCACCATCCACAACCCCAGAGCAGCAGCCACGAGCCAGAAGGAAGCACACTGCAGCAATGGGGTACACAGGATACATTGCTGTGTTTAACAGACCGAGTACACAAAATAAATAGCTCTGTACACTCTAACCAGAACCTTACAGACTAATTACAACGCTTCAGACCTCATTCGATGAGACGGTCTATAAAGACAGGGCCCAAAGGCAAGGCACAGAACCAGGCGCTTCGTTAGGAGCGAACAGGACACGAGTGCTGTGCTTCCAGTCCAGCACAGGAAATTCGGTGACCGAAAATAACAGCAAGCACTGGAAGGTCCCAGAGCTTCCCCAGGAGGTGTCCTTCCGCAGTGAAAGGCAACAGGAAGGCTCCCAGCATCTGTTAGGTGCTCGTTTCTGGTTTGGGCCAGGATTTGTTCCACATTCAACAGACGCAGTGCAACATCTGGGCAACAGCAGTGAGTGGCTCAGCGGTCACACGCATGGGATGTACAGTGTTAGCATGGGGGGGACAGCAGGAAGAGGACACGGCGTCACAAAGGGGGGGACAGCGCTCTGCACCATGGGGACATCGAGGGGGGAAGGTACCACGCTCTGTGATGCTGCTCCCACAAAGCATCCCTGCTGCTTCACATTTTCTGGCAAATTCGCCGCTCGCTGATGCTCACCAAGCACCCGAGGGCTGTGTTTCTGAATCCAGGCTGGAAGAGGAAACCAAGTGGTCAGGAGAAGCACCAAAAAGCTCCCAGGAGCAGCGCAGGCAGCTTGGGGCTGGGTGTCTGAGAGGAACTGGCATGGCACGCTGTTTTCCAGGATGAAGGCTGGGAAATAGCATCCCAAACCTGTGGGCTGACCTTTTTCTACAGATAGGGAACACTTTGGGAATCCTCCAGTGCCATCTCCAAAGAGCCAGCCTCGGCTTTACTCTTCCCTCTCTACTCCGCTCTTGTGGGGTCCCATCTGCAGTACTCTGTCCAGGTCTGGGCCCCCCCATACAAGACAGAGAGCTGTTGGAGAGGGTCCAGAGGAGAGCCACAAAGATGATCAGGGGGCTGGAGCACCTCCTCTACAATGACAGGCTGAAGAAGCTGGGCTTGTTCAGCCTGGAGAAAAGAAGGCTGTGGGGTGACCTCATTGCAGCCTTCAGTACCTAAAGGAAGCCTACAAACAGGAGGGGAATCAACTCTTTGAAAGGGCAGATAACAGCAGGACAAAGGGAAATGGTTTGAAGTTGAGGGAGGGAAGATTGAGGTTGGATGTCAGGGGGAAGTTCTGTACTATGAGAGTGGTGAGGTGCTGGAACAGCTGCCCAGAGAGGCTGTGATGCCCCGTCCATCCCTGGAGGCGTTCAAAGCCAGGTTGGATGGGGCCCTGGGCAGCCTGGGCTGCTGTGAAATGTGGAGGTTGGTGGCCCTGCGTGTGGCAGGGGGTTGGAGCATCGTGATCCTCAAGGTCTCTTCCAACCCTGGCCATTCTGTGATTCTGTGATACTCTGCCCACAGAGAACTGGCATAACCAAGGTGAAAGCCAATGTTGGCCCCACACACCAGGGATCTCAATGGGAGTGCTCCCACCTGCAAAGCACCACATGTTGGCTTCCACATCGCTTCACAACTCATCACAGCTCGCAGGGAGCTCCACCCAGAGATGCTGCCCCATAGCACAGCTGACCACAACTCATGCTCCCCAGGCTAACGCTATGGCTCTGCTAGAAAACAGGATTGAAAAACAGAGCAGAGCATGAGAAAATTTAAATCACCAGAGCAGAAAATATCTGAACTAAAGGAAGGACTAAATATCAGGTTGGATATTAGGAACAAATTCTGCTCAAAAGGAGTGGTGAGGCACTGACACAGCTGCACAGGGAGGTAGGGCAGTCACTGTCCCTGTGGGTGTCCCAGAGCCATGGGGATGTGGCAATGAGGGACGTGGGCACCGTGGGGTTGGACTTGGGGATCTGAGAGGACTTTTCCAACTTTAATGCTTCTGTGAAAATATCCAAATACCAAAGCAGCTAAGTTTGAGGCTCTCTCATTCCCCAAACAAACAGGTAACGCAGGCTCCATGCCATCAGTTTCATGTCAGCAAGGCAGAGCCCTTCAAACAGGCAGGAGCAACTGGGTGCTGCTGCAATCTCAGTGCTAAGCAGCACAGGCTGCTCCTGGACTGAAGGAGCAAGGGGATCTGCTATCTCTGGGCTGATGTTTGTAAAGGCCTGAGAGAGTAAGAAGCGAATCACAGCTGGACAAGCAATTGCTTTTTAGCAAAATACGTAGGAAAATACATCACACACACACAGAAATCTGGATGCAAAGCTGAACAGTCTGTAGACTATTAACATTTAGTCTGGAAGACCTTTTCACATTCATTTCCCTTCACAACATGAAGGAATCAGCTGGCAGCTCTCTGAGGCTGTATCCATCTCCCCAGCAGAGCAGGGAAACTTCCAGGGCAGAACGATAGGATTGGCTTTACACAGTAGTGCTAAGTTCCAAAAGATAAATGTACAATGCTTCCTTCACCCCCTATAACTCCATCTGGATGAGGACACAGTGCAGTTAGCCACTAGATGTCCTTCCAGTTTCATTTTCACCCTATTAACCAAGTACAGGCAACAACAGCACTCCTCCACTGAGGTTTGCACCCCAAGGACACAGCAGTGAATTTGTCACCCAAATTAAGAACCATTACTAAGAGCCAAAGAAGGAAATGGGGAAAAAAAAAAACACACATGAAACAAAACAATAAAGCATCATAGATTTTAACTTCTAATATCCTCAGGCAAAGGCACTTCTGAAAAGGGGAAAGTCCTGAGATACCAGATGAATAGAGAGCTGAGATGCCCTGCAGAATATAGGTGAGGATGAGCAAGATCATTCACAGTGAAAGCTCCTCAAAGGACAGGCTGAAGTGAAGGCACCTGAACTGGTGGCACATTGCCTGCCCCCTAGCTGAAAACGTGCCACAGCTGCAAGGCTGAAAGCACCAAGGAATTGTTTTAAGCCACAGATCTGAAGATTGTTGCTCTGCTGAATGAAGGAGAGCTTGGTCAGACCAGAGCTCAAGCTCCTGCACTCCTACTGCAACCACGTGAAGCATGCAGGGACAAGGCAGGTACAAACAAATCTGGGCATGTCAGTGGCCCAGTGCTTAAAGGAAAGGGTCTCAGATTCTAGGGGTCTTGGCTCAGTCAATCAGTTTGACTTTCTTGCATAGGTAAAAGACCTGCTTTAAGGGTAAGCATGCAAGATAATCTGGGGAGGGCTATAAAAGCACCAAAGTGGACATAAAAGGTCACAGTGCCTGGCTGCGATGCTCCAAACAAGCAGAAGACTCCTTCAAGTAATGGCTCATAACCAGAAGCCCTCTGAGAAAGCATCCGACCAGCTCCTCATGTAAAGGGGAAGAGCACTTTCCCAGTTAATACCTGCCTTGAAGTACTTGCTGCTTTTGAAGAGCTGTTTGCAGGAATACAAGGAGCACTGAGCTGCTAATGAAGCAGCACGTGGCAAGCTGCCTGTTTTCTCAGAAACTGTCTAGTTGATCATTCCTGGTAATGAACCAGGAAAGACTACAATAAAAGGGAAAAGAAGCTGAAGGAACCTTTCTTTTATTTTCCCTCCATAGCCCACAAAGCTAAAATAAAAACAGCTAGTAATTCTGCAACAGCAGTTAATGCTGATGGAAGGATGGGTACTCAGGACAGAGCAGCCCCCAAGGGATGCAGAGCTTCCAACGTAACGCATAGAAAGGGTTTGGAATTCACCCCTGCAAGTGTCTGAGACCATCATCCTTAAGTATCCTCTGTCATATTCCTCACCATGAGCTTGGGAACAAAAGCTAAGTGAAGTAGTTAGATTCCTAGCACTGGGGTGGAAAGCACATCCCTAGAAATTTCCTTTTTTCAGCTCAATAGAACTGACAGCACACTTTTTGCTGGTGGATGTAAGCTGTATCTAACAGCTCGGTGGTTTCTGCTCATCTCTCTGCTGTCACTTCAGGACTGGGCTTCTGCTAGCCAAGCTCCTACTCTACCCCTATGGAGCCTCTTGTTGTCACCCCGCCTGCTCTCACCACCATTTCCCTGCCCCAGAGAACTGATGGCAGTAGCAGGGGACACCCCAAAGCAATCAAAGCATTGGAAACACAGTTGGTAACAGTAAGCCACGTCACGGTAACAAAACCAAACCCTGCATGTTAGGGACTGCTCCTGCTACAAATAGGGGAACCCCTAAAAACTGCCTTCATCTCTGTGGAGCACAAAATTCCTGCAGG